TTACCAAGCTACAAACTGGGCTAAGCCTGTCCATGGGCTCAGTAGCCCAGTAGTTCAGCCCGACCCATTAACAACGCTAAATTATTTAATTAAATAATTTGAGATAGCCTTTACCAATCTTGTGTTGATAATACATAAAGTTCTATTCATTTATTTACTTATTTTACTAAATTATTTTATTCTCCCAAGTCTCTGCTACAACCATAAGAGACTTTATTAACTAAGTCAGTCAGCATCTTCTCCTATTTTCCCACTTGTTTGATAGCTATTGACTTATTGTACCGCCTCTACATGTGTTTGTATAAGGTTCAATTTGGAAAGAGTAAGAATACAAATATGTACACTACGAGGTTTAGAAATATATACATTTTTGTAAAGTGCAATACAAATACATATTTGTATTTATACTCTTCCCAAACTGAACCTAAGAATCGACCAAAGAAACTTAATAGGCTTAACAAGCAAAACTGAAAGCCCAGTACTAGAACGCTTCAGTGGTATTTGAAACTCATTGAAAACTAATTGTGGTAACTATTATAGATGGAAGAAGTCAGAAACTTGGGATCTTTAGCTTGCATGTTTTATTCATCACAATCACTGTTCTCAGAACCGTTACAGACCCAACAGATAATGGGTTGGATCTGGTTCAGAACAGGGTGAACCAATACAGAACCGATTGTTAATCGCTTGTATAAAATAGATTCAGAACTGAACCGACTATTAATCAGGATAATTGGATCTGACCTGATTGTACTTAACATCTATAATTATCTATAACAACTTGGAAATTCATTTTTTATGATGCAACCTTAATCTGCCTACATGTTGATAAACCAAGTGCCTTTTAATTTAGCCAAAATTTCTTATACACTGCCTATGAAATTTACTCTTTCAAACATAAATTATAACAAAATTACAAGAAAACCTGAAGATTTTTATATATTTTAACTTCTGCTCAAACAACAAAAACCGGTCATTACCCCAATTGTTAATTGGGACACAAAGCATAGAACAAGAACCAATATAAGAGATCCAGTTGGTTCAATTCTATCGGCCGGGTTGGCCCGACCCATTGACAGTTCTAGTCAAGTTGGAGTACTGTAGTGTTATAGCTGTGTTATAACCATGCTATTTGCAGGCACTGGATTTGGTTTGGCCTTGGGACACGAGTAGGACAAGAAGGCTACAAATTTGGAGAAGGATTAATATATAGTTAAAAAAAAAGTTAAAAACATTTAGGTTGTGTTTGGTTTTTGTGCAAATTTATTTGCATTAGTACAAATGCATAAAAGTGTAAATGTAAAAAAATTCAAATTCATGTTTAATTTTATTTTGGATTTTACTTTATTTTGCTTCATGTTTTAATTTACTTCATTTGTACTGAAATCAAATAAAATAAGCTAAAATTTGAAACAAAAATAGGTCAGACTTTACACTCAAATCATTTACACTGCCATGGTTTTGCATCAATACAAATTTATTTGCATTGCAACCAAACACAGCCTTATGGATGAATAGGTTAAGTCTACACAGATTGATATGAAAAGAACTTGCCAACTGGGGTCTTGGAAGAGGTGGAGTAGATATGGACATAAGTATGTAACCCTTGCATATTTTGCACAAAGTGGCTGTTCTGAGACTTGAACCTACCTTCTTATACTTGTAAACTTAAGATTTTGTCATTGCACCTAGTAATGTCACCTGTATAAGATTCAAAATATAGGAAGTGCTCCCCTTGTACATGGTACTTTCTCAAGCTTTACTAGAAATAGACGTTCATAAATTCTAACCTGTTCATCAGGTTCTTTTGATAAATTACCAAAGGTCGCAGGATAAATTACTTCAACTTTAAAAGTGTGCCCTCCCAATTTCCCAAGTCTTTTGAGTGGGGGGCTACCAGACCGCTTTAATCTTGTCCGCCTCCCCTAGATCTACAGTCCAACTAAACTAAAAAGAAGAATTTCAGAATTATATTTCAAAGGTATATAATATCTTAGATTGTAACGGCTTCGTCTTAATTTTTTTCTAGGCAAAATATATGGTACATTAATTACACGATGAATAAAAAATGTGATTTTTTTAAAACTTGAGAACATGGATTTTAAAATTGGACCGGATCAGATGGTTGGATCAGAAAGACTGGGAATCGGTCAGGTGATGGGTTCCGTTTCTTCCTAAAACCGGATTTCTCAAAAAAAACATTGATTTTAGTCAGCAAATCACTGAACCGGGCGGTTAATCATTCAAACCATTCAAACGGTTTTAACCATTTTTTATTTTTTAAATTTTTCTTTAATTCTTTTGTCTGAACAGGCTGATCATTCAGTTCAAACGGGCCGACTGTTCAGTTCGAATGATCAGACCATTCGACCCGATAACCAAACCCCTGACCGGTTCGATGTCTAAGTCAGTTTTAAAAATCATACTTGAGAATTAAATGAAATCTTGATTTAATATATCATAAATTAGAAATATTTGTAATGCATCACAATTGGACTTTTTCCTTAATGTCATTGATCTGTACTTCTATATCAATTACCATAGCTTTACGTGAAACTTTTGAGTTGATCAACACAAATTGGTGAGAGAAATGTGTGTTTGTCACATCAAATATGAGAAACAACCTAGCTAGCTAGAATGATTAAACCTCACCCCATGGATCGAGCAAAAAACCTCAAGTTGAGCTTTAATTCTACAAACAGCGTTCCACTGGTGAAATTTTAAAGTACATTTAATTATATACAGCCTTAAATAACAGTTGTATGCAGTGTTTTAAAAATTGACCGGAGTTGTATGCAGTTGTATATATGTTTTATTCTAAGCTTAGTTTATACTTTTATTTCAATTTTTAATTTTTTATAAATAAAAAAGAGGATAAAAAAGATTTTTTTTTACAAAAATAGTGAGAAAAGGAACTTTCGTCTCCTTAAAACAGTAGATTTCAAAAAATTACCCCAAAACTCAATCTGACCTCCAAAAAATTCAATGCACTTTAGTGTATAACCCATGACCCAGTGAAAATTTGTGGGTGGGGTTTTGTGAAAATGGGATCCTACAAAAGGGACCGGGTGACAGTTTGGACTGTTTGATTGTCCGAATAAACCCCAGGTTGAAAACATTGGTTGTGTATGTCGATCAACCCAAAACGTTTAAAGTAGAAGCCACAAAGTTACCAAACACAACCTATCTCCTCAACGGTGGCACAGAGTTTTGTTGTTCTTTTTTAATTTGAATTTCTTTTTGCACGTAATCCTTGAGCTCCAATTTTTGAATCCCTTATTATTTTTCTGTATGCTCCTTTTGGCAGTGGAAATGATCAGCTGTCTTTTAGACCCAATCATTCTTGTATTGAATCCCTTCTGTATGCTCCTTTTGAATCCCTTCTGTATAAACAATGCTCTAACTCCATCGAAGATAAGGTTTTTTCTTTTTTTCTTTTTTTTTTTTTTTTACGACGTCGACTCCTGCACTTGGAATTTGGTTCAATTTGCTTCATCGTTCAAACCATCTAACCCCCAAGACTGCAGAGATCTTAACACCATTAAATTAAACATTGGGTTCTGGGAATTAGCCAACTGGCTTCATCTAGCTAGTAATTCCAGCTTTCTTGCCTATTGAATGGTACGTCTTCTTTAGTTCTGAAAACTTCTATTACAAAATTCCTGGGTTCTTCATCACGAGCTTCCCCAGGAACGGTAGGTATCGACTTGGGTGTCTCTTACCGAACTCCAAAAACAGGAATGAAGTTGATCTATCGGGCATATACATATTCAGATAAGATCTAACTGATCGATCACAGTGTAGTATATGACATGCAAGAGATAAAATATGAGAAGAAAAAAGGAAAAAAAGACCATCATGTGCAGAAGATAGAGGGCTTACCTCAGTTTAGAAATTAGAACTTTCTCTTTCTATTCATATTGAACGGTAGATAGAAATCATGCAACATGCATTAATTTTTGCGTAGTACTCACAAAATCATGATGAGTTCTATCATCAACAAAATATATCATATCGTTATATTAATTGGTGCAACTTGGTCCAAATTTTCATCGATCTTGGAATAAGCTCTTGTTAGGTTAGGAGCTTGAATCACATGTAGCTACGCACTATATATTAGTGGAGAAAGGTAAGACTTACCATTCATTCATTTTTCCTGCAACTTCTTCGGATGTGAGTGCTTTGAATGGTTGGTAGTTAAAAATTATTCTCTGTGTGTATGACTCAGACTTAGGATTAATTGAAAGTCTTTTTCTATATATATATTCTCAAGATCTGCTCAAACACAGATGGATATCAAGTGAATGCAATTTTAATTATGAGTTTCCTAAATCTGATTGCCTTAATCTCTCTAAGAAGAAACGCCTGTAAACTCAGAAATTATTCGAAAGGCTCTGTTTGGGAAGAGTACAAATTAATATCTACAGGGCAAATACAAGGTTTAATCTTTGCCATCTCTACATTCGATTGCTGAATCTTCCTTTTCAGTTTTTAGTCGTCGAATCCATTCGGAACAAGATCTGCATGCTATCTAAAGTTGTTCTTTTTCTTATATTAAGACGAAAAAAAGTAGTAGCCAAACGATGCCTATAATTTTTCCAGTTCAAACATAAAGTTGAACTCCTGATTTGCACCGGCCTCTTGTTAATAGCTAGTGAAATGAATTCTGTAAAATAAAATAGAGAAATTCTGTTTATATTTGGTAAAAATTTGGACGATGTTTTAGAATTCAACTACTTATTTTTCTCGAAGTTTCATATATACTGTGAAAAGAAATAAAAATAAAAAAGCATAAATATAAAAATATTATAGAATATAAAATATTAACTGTTGAAAAAAATTCCCAAAATTCGAAAGTTACAAAAAATGTCAGTTCAGATCTAGGGTCGGAAATGGCTGAAATTTCTGATATTTAAAATGTTGTTCTCATTCAAAATTTTCTTTCTTACAAATGCATAAAACATCCAAAACAACCTTGTACTGGATAACACCCGCAAAACTGAAAATTCACAAAATTTTACCAAAATTTAAGACCATAACTGAAAGCTATGTACATAAGTAATTGATGAGCAGAAAAACTCAAATAATAGGTCAAATTCAAATGCCCGTATCCATCATTTGAGCTACATAATGGGTACAAATTAAAGCACAATTTCTAGTGGATTATACATAAGTGTCATTCCAACATCTCAACTCTAAGTTGGTGTTGGCCGATAAGAATATACATTACACCTTTTGTCACTACTATGAGTGCACTTCAACCCTGGCCTCTTTACTTTTAATGCACGTTTAACCTGTAAATTAAGCACGGATTTTACAATAAATTCCATCCATTAAATGAGAAATCACCGTACCCATATGGGAGTTTTGCATAAAAAGCTGGCGGGTCTCTTATGATGATGATATCCTTGCTCCGACTTCCACAAAGAGGTACCTGATGACCAAATCAGTAGTCTGCCAATCGATCGCTTACATATCAAATCCAAGAATCCCATCATCGAAAGAGAAGAAGCGTAGGGGAGGGTGCACTCTCAAGCTCTGTTCCAGTATCTGGTTCTGCAATTTGATGCCTTTCTTCCACAACAGCAAGTGAAGAAGAAGAAGGAATGGTGGTCATTGTAAGATCAAGGTTCAAATCGGGCAAGGCACATGTGTCATCCTCTAGGCAGCTTGCAGCATCGGAGACCCGATCGTTGTCACCATGGGATTTTGCTGGTTGACATGACTGAGTTGCCTGGTTCTTTGAACCAGATGAAATCTCACTATCAGAGACGACCCTTTTACTTGGAGAAGAAGGATGGATATGATTATTCAAGCGATGGTTATTGGGATCGATACCCATGTTAATCAGCTTTCTCCTTAAATGGGAGTTCCAGTAGTTCTTCACTTCATTGTCTGTACGCCCCGGCAATCTCCCGGCTATTAATGACCACCTGAAACAGTCAATGCATCGTAGATCAATAAACGAGAGATTATTAGCAGCACAAACAGTAAAGCAAGAAGAAATTACTACTAATACATGTGCCTATGCAAGCAAGGACAAGATTGGTGCTAAGGAAGTTGTTATATTGAGATATATAACTGATCATATATAGTTAGATGTTAAAAGGGTTCGTACTTAGAAAGCTTTAATTAGTAATATTGTCTTATAGGAAGAGTTACCCTAAGATATTTACATAAAAATGTTGAAGAATTTGGGAAATGTACCGATTGCCTAGGAGTGCATGGAGCTTAATGATAAGCTCCTCCTCATCTTCAGCAAAGTTGCCCCGTTTAAGGTCTGGCCTCAGATAGTTTATCCATCTCAGTCTACAACTTTTACCGCAACGAAGCAAGCCTGATTGATAGAAACAAGAAGGGGAGATGTACATGTACTATTAGTTTTTTTTTTTTTTTCTTGTATTTAAAGCTCATTATGTTCTATGCGCAAAATCATCAAATAGTGAGTTGATGGTGTTGAAGAAGAAGCGTATGGGAGGAGGAGGAGGAGGAAGATATTGGTGATTATTGATTAAGTGACATACCCGCAGCTTGAGGAAGAGACCTCCAGCAACCTTCCCCATGGGTTCGGATGTAATCAATGAGCTTTTGGTCCTCTTGCTTGGACCAAGCTCCTTTGTTGGTATCTTGCTTATCACAGCAAGGCTTCCTCATTCTAAGTATCCTAATTAGCTAAGAAGCCCAGAAGGCTAAGAGGCAAGAAGGTGGACGACCGGACAAGAAAACCAGAGATGTAGTGAGAGAGAGAGAGAGAGAGAGAGAGCACCCACCCAACAAGCAGCGGCCTGAGTATATATAACAGGGTGGTCTTGTTTTGTTTGTGGAGGAGTTGACAATTGAGTTGGACTGGCGGTTTGTATGCGTGACGAAGGGAGATGGAGAGGGGGAGAAGAGTGGAGAGAGAAGAGAGTTTGTTGGTTGCCGTTAAGTATGAATCTCTTTCTCTCACCCTCGTAAACAAATCAGTTAAAATTCCTTTTCTTTTCTTTTTTTTTGATTATTTTTTCCTCAATGCCCATCAACCGAATTCAGCTTCAGTCAGGGCAAACTCTGTTGGGACAGTCCTCACTTGACAATATTTCCATACGTATATGCTTTATATTATGGGAAGATATTCCGAATGCAAAGTTGGAAAAGACTGTTAGAACGGTGTGGGCATAGATTTACCCTGAAGCCGGTTTCCAATCAATCAATTCAAATCTTTTACCACATCAGCCGAGTATGTGGGGTTCACGTGTCTATGGATCTATTTTTTTTTAAATGTATCAGTTTTTGGACCAATGAGTGGTCGGCACGTAGCACTCACATGATCACTTACCGTCACAAACAAAAGTTTTCGGAAGGTCGTCGCGTCGTATAATAAGAAGGGGAAGAAAATTAAGTTGGCGAAATCACATGTTTTCACGTTGACTGTTCGCTACTTTTAGCTTTCCCTGCAGTTTATCCAACAACTTCAATTCGCACTCTATTTGAAATTATCTCAACTCCGAGCTCCAACCCTCCAAAACCCAATTCAATGGGAGGAATTCCCCGATCCAACCGCCCGCAGTTTTCTAGATATATATTTATCTGGGTTAACTGCAACCTTCTAATTCTCTGGTCTGTGGGATTAGGTTTACGGTGAATAGAGAAACCTAACTGCAACTTTCCGGGTTGGCAACATAATCAGCTTCTAGACCAGCTTACAGAGGAGATTATCTGTTCCGACCCGACCCAGTACCATCCCAACCCAATCTCTCTCTCGCACACAGTGACACAGAGCTAGACTCTCGGTGTTTGGTATGAACAACCTAATTAATGACCAACGTTAGACGTATAATTCTTCTTCACCATTGATAATAAGCTTCGTTAAAGCTTAACGAAGTAGTAAACAAAGTAGGTGTTTGGCATCGGTGCTGAGAATATTGCATCGATTTCTCATAAAAATGGTGCTAACAATAACGTTTTTAACATTGATTTAAATTATCAAACATCTAAATGATGTCGTATCATTGAACAGCTGATAATAACCTAAAAACATTAAATTTGATATTATTCCATACCACACTTTCCTAATTTTTAAGACATGTAACATTCTTTTTGGAAAAACAATTCCTAACAAGAAAACGTTGTTTGAAACACCGCTCTGACGTGGCACTTCGATGCAAAACATCACCAAGAAGGATTTATGCAGCTTGAGCCAACTACAGCTAGATTTCATTTTCTTTGGGGTTTTCTGTGATTTGGGTGTGAAGCAGTACTGAGTGGCTCTGGAAGAGGGATATTGGTGTGAATTCCTAGGTTTTCTGGTTCTAAGTAAGACTGGGAATTCACGTGCTGAGGGGTGTTAGATAGATCCAGACTTACGTGGCCATCTTCCCATCTGATTTCTCTGTACGGGTCCATTAATGAGCACCGTCTGCTAATGAATGCAATGAGCTACTCCTGTTAATAAGCCACACAGCTGCATGGATTGGATAAGCCATTCTTAGTAAGAAATAGTTTAATTTATTCTGAGCTATTAATTCTTTCTATTTGGATAATGAGCAGAGAAAGAAGTAGAAATGATGGGTGCATGACAAGTATTGTCATTCTTTAGGCCTACCATGACTAAACAAATACTAAAATATTTTAAAAATGGAAAGAATATAATACTTTGATTGATTAAGTATAAACTGAATATATATATATATATATATATATATATATATTTTGGCTCATCAAGAACACATATTTAAGTAGTGTAAAATGAGTATATAAACATATAACTCTTTTCTTTTTCGGGTATATACTTAGAAGTTTAGAGCATTTTGGTTAGACTTCGAACAACAAACTTTATCAAAATCTTATATATATTTATTAATACGAAATGAAACGTGAGAATAATTATTAAAGTAATTAATTACTGTAATTTAATAACTATTCATTATTACGGTAATTTAATAAATATATAATTAGTGGTTATAATTAATAATTAATGTTATTATAAACATTGCTAATAATTAGGTATTTACTTTAAATTAAAACTATAAATACTGTTAATAAATTTAGTAATTATTGTTATATTAAAAATAATTTAAAATGTTATTAAAAGTATTGTTATTGATTATTTAATAAAATATTATAATTACTGACTGTTATTAATAAATACTGTTAATTTAATTTAATTTTGGTAATTATTAATCTAGTGAATATTGTTAATAAATCCTTTTTATTAATTTAATAATTAATATTATATTAAAAATAACTAAATAATCTTATTAAAACTATCATTAATGATTATTTAATTAAATAGTATAATTACTTACTATTATTGATAAATATTGTTAATAACGTTTTGACAACCGACTGTTTGATCGTCTGGTTTGAATGGATGGTCTGTTTTGACAACAAAAATTATAAGCAAAAATTACAGAACCGTTCTAACCACCGATTTTTGGGTCAACGATTCGATCATCCGGTTCGAACGGACAGTCCGTTCTGACAACAAAAATTATAGGCAAAAAATTGAGTTTGTGAGGTCCATTAAGTGGTATTATGCGTGTTATGTCATTCGAGCGTGTGACTCATACGACCCAAAAAACAGAACCGTTCTGGCCACCAGTTTTTGAGTTGACGATTTGATCGTTCGATTCGAATGGACGGCCCCGTTCTAACAACAAAAAATTACAAGCAAAAAATTATGGAACTGTTCTAGCCATCGGTTTTCGAGTTGACGGTTTTATCGTCCGATTCAAATGGACCCATTCTGACAACAAAAATTGTAGGTCAAAAATTGAGTGTGTGATGCTCATTGAGCAATATCATACATGTTATGTCATTTGAGCGTGTGACTCATACAACTCAAAAATGGAACCGTTCTGGCCACTGGTTTTCGAGTCAACAGTTTGATCATCTGGTTTGAACGGACAACCCATTCAACAAAAATTAAAAATAAAAATAAAAAACGGCCAAAAACCATTGAACAGGTCAACGGGTTAACGGTTTGACCACTTGAGTCAATGGGTCATTGACTAATTCAATGATTTTTTGCCAGGGACCGAGATTGGGGGGTAAAACGGAACTAGTTGCTTGGACGATTTCCAATTAAAAAAATAAAAAAAAAAACACACATTCTGACAACAAAAATTATAGGCAAAAATTGAGTGTATGAGGTCCATTAAGCAGTACTATACGTATTATGTCATTTGAGCATGTGACTCATATGACCTGAAAACGGAACAGTCCTGGCCACCAGTTTTCGGGTTGACGGATCGACTGTTCGTTCGAACGGATAGCCCATTCTGACAACAAAAATTAAAAAAATAAAAAACGACCAAAAAACCATTGAACGGATCAATGGTTCGACCGCCTAAGTCAATGGATCGTTGACCGATTCAACGATTTTTGGCTAGAGACTGAGATTAAGATAAAACATAATCGGTTGCCTGAATGGTTCCTAATTAAAAAAATAAAAAAAAAACATCCTAAAATCATTGAACGGGTCAATAACTCAATGATTCAACTGTTCAGATCAATGAATCATTAACCGATTCAACAATTTTTTGCCAAGAATCGGATCAACAGGTCAACGGATCTACAGTTCCATTTTATCCCCTGCGAAGCAGGGGCCCTCCGCTAGTGAAAACTTATTATAAACAAAAGGCAATATGGTAAAATAAACCGAATGGAAATCATCACAAATCTGTTGGATTGGAGACCACCCACCAGGCTATTTCACATGTATCCAGAGAAAATGGTACAGTTGACAAATAGAACTAGTCACCCTGAAAGTAAGAGTAAAAGAAAAGCAAAAATAAAGGAACAAAGAAAAGAAAAAATTACCTCACTTTACAATTTCATATTTAAATTTAACATCCCAAATTCATTAAACAAAAATTCCGTTTGTGATTTGTTTGTGTGTGTATCAGAGAGAAAGAGCACTTGGACTACTGGGCTGGGTCATAACGGAGAGTAGACCCCAAGTCATGCCCATGGCAATATATCAAAGAAGGATTACAATGAAAGATAAAATGTAAAAAAAAAAAAAAAATCCATTTCCAAGGACAATACTTTCTCCAAAATAATGTTCTTCTCAAGAAACATATTGTTTTGTCGCCAAAAAATAATTTCGCATCTTGTAAAAATATCTCTACACCAAAAAAGAAAGAAAAAACTAAAACATACAGGAAATAAGCCCTGAACTCATAACTAGGAACAACTTGGTGAGTATCTAGAATCTTACATTTCCCTGATGGTGTTTGGTTTGATAGAAATAAGTAAATAATAAAGAAATATGTTAAGGTAAAGTTCTTAAAGAATTGCGTCTTATTTCTATCCGCTTTCTCTTTCTCTCTTATTTTCTATCAAACCAAATATTGCTTAGCCACCTAGCTATAAATAATATTTCATAAAAAAAATAATTCTTATAATCCAATCAAATTTGGAAAAACCAACTTAATTCCGTGATTTATGTATCTTTTAATTTTCTTAGGGATTAAAAGAGCCTATATTAAAGTTAGCCTTATATGTACATACCTAAATTCTTAGTTGTGAACTTCTAAGTTAAAGTATAACGTTTGTACAGAAAAAGTAGTAAAATATTCTATATATAAGCTATTTATACCTAATAATAATTTCTGATTATAACTAATAAGATGTCTTTTTCACCTTTATAAGTTATTAAAGGGTCTAGTATATTGATGGATCCGTCAAGCCTAAGTTTGTACGAAAACAAGAAAAACCCTAGAATAATACCCAAAAGTCTTTCCTTATCTTATCTAACCATGAGAGGAAAGGAGTGAAGAGGAAACGGAAAATCA